CCCCGGCCCGGGAGCGCGGGTCCCGGGCCGGTGTGTAGGGGCAAAAGTTCTTCTTTATTCCTTTCGTAAAACTGTCTCGGGATCTTTACCGGAGGTGAGTTTGCTCCGAGGTATCCCGTCCTGATGCTGTACGTGCCTGCGTATACTCGCCAGATGCGTTATACGACTTTGTTTTCTACGTGCCACCTGTTTAGTACGTAAGGTAACTCGAGCTGCCGGGTTTGTATCGCAGATTTGAGCGAGTTCGTTTTGTTTGGTTGGTTGGTTTTTTTAAATCTCCATCTCCCAGTGTGTGCTTTTCATCTCGCTTGTGGGTCTGTGATAGGAAAGGTGTTAGTTGCAGAATTGTAGTTGTTTCTGTTCTGCCTGCTAGCAGAGGTGGGCCTGAGTAGTTTTGCAAATACCTTGTGAGCTGATGTTGTGGGAAAACAGCAGTTAAGATGTTGGCGTTGCATCCCTTAGCAACTTGTTGCTGACATTGTTTTTATTACAGGTGCACTTTTGTCATCTAATGACGTCTCTGAGTTTCTAAATAAGAGGGCACAGCTTTGCTCTGAAACCTTAACTTCTCATGTTCATAAAGCAAGATTTCCCGTTGAGCTTTCTGGTTGGTTATATTAGCTCTAAGTTCCAGTACTTCTGAGATCTAGATGGCGAACTTCTGAGTTCACGCAGAAGGAGAGGAAATAGTTCCCATCCATAATGCAACTGATAATTTACATGCAACCATTCTTTATTTTATTTGTTATGGATATTGCAGTGCAAGTGATAGTTTTTTATTGTAGGTGGGACAGGCTTGTTTGTTGCAGTGATAGTTTTTTTTTAATTGTAGGTGGGACAGGCTTATTCGTTGCGTTGGTTTACTCTAGAGCATGAGGTGGATTGGCCTGAGCGTTTTAATGCATGTGGTTGTGGAAGAACTGATGGAAGCTCATTTGTTGAAAACACACTCCTACATTGCAATACTTTCACATTTTCATGAGGCCAAAGGCTAGAGAAATTCAACTGAGAATTTGAAATTACTGGTGCTTTTAAATGATCTATTGCACCGTTAACACAGGTTTTTAATATGGCCTTATAGGTTAGCACTATCTGTTTTCTATTTCAAATAGCGATGGCAATTTACTTGGTAAAACTTTATCATAAGTTTCTCTTTAACATTGAAACGACCGAAAACTAGAGTTGACGGTGCAGGCTTAGTATAGAATGGGGTTGGGGTTCTCCTATGTGATCTGCATAAGAGAATATGAGAAAAGAGAAGTCAGAGGGGAAATTTTTTTTTAAAGGTTGAGATAAGACTTGATTAGAAACATGGGCTACGTTTAGATCCTGCCTTTGAAGTCTCTTTTATTTGGTGGAGTGCAGATGCATACAAATTTAGTCAGAATTAGTATGTAATGACATAAGAGGCATTTCTCCAAAATTCCAGGAGTCCAAAGTTGGACTCTATTCTGGATCTGTATATTTAGAGATAAGCTGCTATTTAGGTTTTTTCCCTTCTCCTAGCCTTCTGTTCTTAACAAAGCTTTCTTAGACTTTCTCATACGCTTTCAGGTAAACATCTGTAATCCCCTTCTTTCAGCTTGCCCTTACCTAGAAGTGGGGAGAGGGGGAAGAAGAAGTTGGTTACTTGATGCTTAATACTTTTCTTTCCTCTGTCTTTGCTTTTACTTTAGGTGGAGAAGCAAAACTGTAAACTTTGCATTACTTGAAGTTTTAGGCTTGTGAAAGCTGTTACAAAAGTGTATTTGTAGGCTGAGAGTTAGAGTTCACACCCAAGCAAAAAAAGGAAACAAGAACTCATGTATTTCTAGCCCAAGTATCTTTAGCTTTTAAGTTGGAGGTTGATGTTGATTTAACTGTTTCCTCATTTGAAAAAAAAAAAAAAATCCAGCTTTCAGATGCCAGCTGGTCCTTTTGGAGAAAGCATATTTTTGTCCTGCATCAGGTTCTCTCGCTTGAATGCCTTGAGCTTTGAAGCGGCTTAGAAAAGCTAAGAAACAAACAAATATAGTAATAAATATCATGTTAAAAACCTGATTTTTACCCTAGAAGGGAATAAAGGCTGTATGTAACAGTTGATGGAATCTAACGCTAAGCTGCTGCTTCTTTTATTTGCAAAACCATGCCATTTATTATATGTTTATGTGGATCCTGTGTAGCCTGTCTTTTCAAGAGATGCCTATGTTCCCCTTTATTTGTCCTCTTTTGAAAACGCGTTTAAGAATTTTTAATTAGAGTTAATTTTCTGTTATTAGTCTGAAATTCATAGTCCTAGATATTTTATTACCACAACGTAATTTGTGCAAATAATGTTAAATCTGATACAGTTTTTCGTCTTGTACATTACTTCCATTCTTTTGTTTGGTCAGAAAGTAAATGCTTCATTTTTTTCTAAGCTAGCACCATGCTGTGCAGGCTTATAACGCTACAGGAAAATACATGAATTCAGAAAAACTGTATTTTATAATCTTAACTGGTTTTTCTTAAATTTGAATATTTCCATATTATATATTTTCTTTTTCTGGAGTCACTGCTTGTGGTATGAACTGCTTGATTCTCTCTTTGAGAGTATAGCGTCTTATTTCAGAGTGCCAGTCTAGTTTTTATATTGTCAGTGTTACAATTTCTATTTGTGGTATAGTCTTTTTGAGAGTTGTCTCTGGTAGGCTGCTTTTAGCTTAAATACTGAGGATGGTGTGACTTTTCAGAAGCAGATCTCACAATGTTTGTGTTCTCTTGTATTAGCTGTGAAACCTTACTAAACTTAAAACAGCTATTTTTTATTCTTTTTGAAAATGTGAGGAGTCCTTATAGATAGGTAAAGGAAATCGAGTCCTAATGAGAGAGTTAACTGCTTGCTTTAGCAGAATGAGGGAACCTTCTGTGAAAGCTGAATTGTGTGTGGAATGCAGTTAAATACATTGTTTAAGCGCGTTGTGTTGTTAAGCTTAAAAACGTGTTCGTTAGGGCCTTGACACACTATAGCTTGTTTGTGCATCATTTGACTCCAGGGTAATTTTTTTTTTCACGTTTCAGTTTCCCTATGGGTGTAGCTGATCTAATTCTGTGTTGTTGCCGAAAGCTATGCGTTTCCACTGCATCCTTTGTGTACGCACTAGCACTTATCCACGTATGCAGTCAGTTGGATCAGGGAGCTGAACTGTCTGAAAAATGAACGGTACAAAAATTATTCTCAGATGATTCAGCTCTCTGACTTAAGCCACCTGGATCCTTAAACCACCATGGGTGAGATGGTAGCAATGCATAGTGAGAGCTAGTAGAACATCTTGGGGTCAACCCTTTTGGAAGCAAAGTGGATTTCCATTGCCTGAAGCTGAATGTTAAAGATTCACCGTAACAATTTACGGCTACTGTCGAGGTTTTATAGATTTTTGTGAAGTACCAGCATTGTGGTATAGAAGATCAGAACTATTACGTGAACTTTCTTTGTCTTATTTAAGTTATGCACCTGATTGTCCTTTTTCTCTGTTGAATTAGACTCTTATTCATTTCGGTGGCGGTTGTGGGTGGAAGAGAGCAGGGAACCACGTCAAGTATGGTGACAGAGCAGTGGGTTTAGTAGATAGGGGAATATGCTTTAGTGTTCTCAGAAACTGTTTGTTATTATTTTGCTAACTTTTCTCTCCTCGTCTTCTCTCTCCTCTTCACCGCATTGTTAAAGACTTTTTCTAAAGTAAAAATGAAGAACTTTTGTTTCTAGGCTGTTCCCGTGTTCTTTATTTTTAGTTATGCATAGGTGCGTGAAGTTACATAGAGCATCCGTGGAACTGGGACATTAAACTCCGTACAATCAGAGTTTCATTGCATAGTATCTAATGTAGTAAAGCCTTTTAGACAGTATTTTGGTTACTGCTTAATAATTCTGTTTCTTAATAAGTAACCAGAATAAGTGGTTCATTTCTTCAGGAAGCCCTGTGCTGTAAAGGTATGCAAATAAATAGAGAGGAAAGATAAAACTTGCATTGAATCCCAGAGCTGTGTTGTCATATAGTTTTATCAACGATGTTTTGGGGAAAGCGTATACAGTGTTTCGGGAAGGTAGTCTGAAAGGCTTACTGGACTAGTGATGATAATGACTGTGATACTTAACAATGTGTTTAGTCTCCTATCTGCTGCTATCGAATGTATATAAACTTAAATTATTTTATTTTAGTTCTGCATGTTGAGCGTTTCTCTTCTACAGATTACGACCATACCTGGCAGTTTAGATGATAAGTTATAGGCTCTCTGTTGAAACTGTGATATTTTTATGATAAGGAGCTCCCATTCATTGTGCAAAGCACCGTACATTAATTTGTTCTGTAGATAATCAACAGGATTAGCACGTCGACCCTAGTGTCTTTCAGATTGCTGATAAGAGATGGGCTAAAGAGAAATATTCAGTTTCTAAGGTGTGTCTGTTCTAAACACATTACGAACGTTTTGATTTTTTTTTTTTTTAAGATAGGCAAATACGTGCAAGTATGCTCAGTAATAGGTAAGTCCACAAGGCAGAAGAAAATGCTCTAATTATTCATAATAATTTATGACAAGGAGCAAGCTTGTAGCAGTCTGTTTATGCTAAGGTTCTTTTATTGTCTACTTCCTCTTCCACCTATTAAAAGCACTAAATTGTTGGAAAGTGGGTTGTGTGTTCTTGGGACAGCTGGTTTCATGTAGGTCTATTTCATTAGAGGAAAAGTAATCTTACATTAGTGTGCTTTTCTATAGTATGTAGTGGATAAATATCTGTATCCTTTTAGCTCATGCATAATTGGAAAATACTTCAGAAATAAAAATGCTTCTGGGAAAACAGTTAATTCTCCGCTCTCTTCTGCTGTCCTCCTCTCCCACCAAGAAAAGAGAATGAGAACGCTTCAGAGAAAAGTAATTGTATGTTATTGCAGTTTCTAATTTTAAAGCAATCAGCCAGTCACTAGTGGTACAGGATACTCAATTAGATTGATGATCTGATACAGTGCAGTGGTTGTTGTAATTCAATTTGGAGTTTGTTTTCTGTAATATGTTATATAGTGGAATAATTGTAGCTTGAATGGATGCTGGTATTAGTAAAGTTGAGCTCTTGTATGTTGAAACAAGGGTGGCTGACGGACTTTTTTTTTTTTTTTTAATATTTTTGCATGGGAATTTGTTTTTCTGAAGGGTATTTACAGCCAGACTTGTATTTAAGCATGCTAACTGTTAGAATGGAAAAAATGCACTGTTTTCGAGAATGTTTCGGTACGTGTGCTGCTTAGTGCAGAATTCAGATTAGGGTTGTATTTTATTTGGTGTCTAAGATGCTTGCAGTGTGTAAATGAAACATACATTACAAAAATAATGAAAGAGTCTAGGTTAAATCGTGATTCTGTTGATCCATTTATTGTGATTATGGTGCTAAACTGTTTTGCAGAGTCACGGAGAATGAAAGTACAAGCACTTAGGTCTGTTCCAAAAGTAACAGAGATTTGAACGTTAGTCCAAATAGCTGTGGAGCTGTATTTTGTGTATTTCCATACTGTTCGTTCTGGTTAAGTGAAGTTGAGGGTAACAGGTGAAGGATGAAGCTGAGAGCAATATCTCTTTACTTTCCTAGAAAATATTTGTGCTTAAGGTGTAAAAACGCTGTACTTCCTAGCAGTGTTGCTATTCTTGCTGGTTTAGACTCTAAATGTTACGGATTTACAGTAACGTTTAACTTTTCCTATGTGCAATGGCTGTTTCTAAACTAAAAGCAAGTTAGTTCAGTATTTTACTTCTGGAAACGTATCTTCTCTGCATTTCTGTTGGAAGATTAGAACAGAATTAGGTGTTACAGAATAGGAACTATTAGAAGAGAGAAACCACCTAGAATTTCATCTGAGGGACTGGCAGGAAAAGGAAAGTGCTGTTTATACACTGTTTTGACGTCACAGATTTGGCAGAAAGTCTTGAAAAAGAGTCCAATTTTCACTTTCCATTTAGAGCTATATGAATTTTAAATACTTGCACATCTGCTTATTTTTGTTTTTATTTTGCACTTTTCCTTTCTCCTCTTGGGATCAACAACTGGTAACAACACAAATTTCCTTCATCCTACTTGGCTTGTCATGGGCTTTTCTGTATCTGACAAAGCTTGTAACTTGTGCTTTTAAAACATAATCGGATTTCTTCCTTGGTACTTAAACTTGACTTGAAAGCTACTCTTTATAAGAGGAGGAGAAAGAGTAGTAGGTATATTTTATATTGTTTTTAGCTTCTTTTTACAGTTTGTCAGTGCTGTCAGGGTTGTCTCTTTTTAAGTAGGCTGCACCTTAGATTTCTCTGTCTCTCTGTGGAACATGAATATCCCAAATTAGTTTTTCATCAGACCCTAAAATAATTAACTTGTATACTTCATGTCTTTTGATCTATTATGCTTTTTTTAAAATCTCAATAATTTTAGCCTTCAAGTAACTTTTTTTTTTTGTTGTTGTTTAAAACAAACTTCCTTATCTCGTCCTTTCTTAACTTGTTGCTGCCCTGTTCTGGTTCTATTTTATGTATGTTTTTTCCTTTTTCAAAAGGGAAGGATGGTAAGACTAAGGTGAATTTACATGCTTTCTTTTTTCATTTATGACTTCTCTAATGCTAAAAGTCCTAATTCACACATACAAGTTAGTATTGTTAAAAGCAGGATTTTTTTTTTTTCCTGAAGAGGGAAGTACTTCAGAAGTTTTTCAAGAGGAAAAAAATTAGATTTCTTAAAAATAGGTTATTAAGTACATTCCCCCATTTTTATTCTGTATAGAAGAGAAAAAAGTCCAAGTAAAACCTATAACGAGACAAGAGATTTTTGTCTGGCAGTTTTCATGGCAAAATGAAGCATGGTTCCCTCCCCCCCACCCTCCTTTTTAGAAAAAGTTTATGTGTATATTAGTTTTAACATTTAGGAAAATGAGAGGCAAGTGTTGACATGTGTATATTGCACGTGAAATCGTTTTATGAACTTTCTAGTATTTAAATAGCCAGTGTCACTATGAACTTTCTAGTATTTAAATAGCCAGTGTCACTCTGAAGTGTGTAAATATATTTTTTTGTTTTAGAGTACAGCTTGCTTAGTATTGTTGAATCATTTTCTTAATGGGTTGGCTATAAATACTGCTTGGTAGCAAACGGTGATGATTATGAAATTGTCTGTTTAGAAGCATCACAGAACTACTGTGTAATTTGGCAGTTTTTCCATAAAGTGGCTTAACCCACACTAAAGTCTGTTCTTGTCTATAAGGTATATTTTAAGATAAAAACTTTAGTAGGTATGATCGAGAATAATACAAATAGGTCCGACTGTAAAACATTTGCTTAAAAAGTTGCTTGTGGAATTGAATCTGCCTTGTTCATGCTTTTATTTAAAAAAAAAAAAAAAAAAAGTGAACCCATATGGCGTATGACGAATCATGAGAAGTATGACTCAAGATGTCAGCTAGTTGTAGCTTTGGAATATGTCGAAGCTGATTTGCTTTATTTACTTTAGATTTTGTGCATTTGTGGATATGTATAAAATTGAGGGCGTTGAGCATGATAAAATTACACTTAAATGTATTGCATAAGTTGTTTTAATATATGTAGTTAAACCGAACATAACTGATGATTAGTCTTCTAAAGAGACAAGTTCAGTTTCCACATAAGTGGAAAATTGCTTTCAGATGAAACTATACCAAGGGCAGTACTTACTAAGTTTTTGATCCTTTGTATAGGAGTGAAGGAGAATAAAAGCTAAGGAAATGGATGAGGATTGTTGGTGGCAGAAACTATGCATAGCTTACTCACTGCTTAGGGCTATTCTGCTTTTTTCTTGGTGAGCGTTCAGCTGTGCCTTTTGACTGTTGATTCCTCCCTCTCTAAGTAGAGTGAAAGATACCTGTTTTATTTGTATGTTACTTACAGCAAAAATGAATCAGGCTAGCAAGTTCCAAGCTCAGTGGTCTGTTCTTTGCTGCTCTTCTAACCGACTGCATGTCTGATAATGTTAAACTTACTCATCTGAAACAAATCTGTAGAATTGGGTGTAAATTTTAAGTATTGCTTAAATAATATCTTAAATTCTTAAAAAAACAAAAAACAAAAAAACCACACATAAGTTAAAGAAAGAAAAAGGTTTTTTAAAGTCACTTGACTTACAGACCGATTCAGAGAACTTGCAAGGCCTCTTATGAAAGTAATATAACTCAAGAAGAGTATCAGAAGAGAAGCCTGCTGCTCCTTCACTAGAAGGTTGACGTGGTGGGAGAAGAACTGTCTCTAGTGTAAGCAAGGCTTTTCCAAAGCCTCAGTTTCAGACATCAGCACTTTATGCTAACGAGTTGCTGGAATACGTGGAGCGATTACATTGTGTCAGCAAGATAGAAGCATATTTGATGAAGAATAAAGTATATTCCTATTAATTGTGTGTAGTGCAGAAGCATCACTTGTCTTCAAATGTTAGTCATCGCCTTCTGCAGTTGCGGAATAACAAAACCTCACAAGCTTTTACTGCAATACTTTTTTGCTGCAAAATGAAACTGTGCAGACAAACTTCAGACTGAAAAAAGGAGAAACTGAGTTTCTAGCCTTCCTGTTAATTTTACTCTCTTAAATATTTCTTACTCTTTAAGGTGACAGTAGCAGTTTTATTTATTTAAAATGCTATTTCTTAATTGAAGGATTTATGTTAACAGGACTTTACTGTGGTCACTGGCATATGTTTTGAAGCTCTTTGATTCCAAAAGATGATCTTTCTGTTCTATAGTTTTGGTAGTTCAAAAGAACACATGGATTCAGTTTTGTACGGGCGGTCAATAGCGTTGGTTTGATATTGTTATAATCAGGTGATGATAAGATCTTTTGATCATGATAGGAGCTTCTTTTAGTGCTGTGCAGTTCAGAACTGAGTAGTGTACAAAACCTGGTCTGAGGATATTGCCCTTATTGATACAAATTCATATCTGCAGCATAACAGAGGAACATGTTTAGCAATTATAAAATTGAATTACTTAACCCAGCACTTTGATTTTAAAAGGTTTGGGTGTAAAGATTCCAGTTGTGGAGCTTTTAGCTAGGCCTTGTAACTTAGGTGAATTGAGGAAGAATGTTTGTACGTGAGAAGAGTACTCTTCTCCAAAATTGTGATATTACTTATTTAGTATATATGTATCTTCCAAGAATTCTGCAAATGTTACTGTCCCTACAATCCTTGTCTCATGCTTATTTTATAGTAATTTAAATTGACTGGAAAATTATTTAAACATAGTATTGAATGTATTCTTTGCTTTTTTACCTATTATTATAAAGCAACTTAATTTTTTGTGGCCAACTCTACTTTAAAATCACAAAATAGTAAATACCAACAGCTCTCTGTATAAGTGGCTTACTCTGAATAGAACTAATTAGAAACAGCTGGAAAGAGTTACTGTACTTGAGATCACTAGCTTTTTTTTTTTTTTTTTTTTAGAATTTGTGTGGAAAAATGGAAAAAAGATCAAACTAATTTTTCAAAAATGTTTACTTTTTCTTTATTAAATGCTTTGTTTGCTTTTTCATATAATAGGTGAAGTATTATAGACACTTGGCACCTGATCACTTACTTCAAATATGCCATCGACTAGGACCACTTCTAGAGCAAGAAATTCCCCAAAGTGTCCCTGGAGTGCAAACATTATTAGGAGCTGGCAGACAGTCTTTGCTTCGTACAAACAAAAGTATGAAAGTTGCATGAGATTTTTGATAATTCTTGTTCCCTCCGCCCCGTTCCTTTTCTGCATTTTTGTCATGAAATAAAATGGTGAATATTTTTGTGTAATTCTGTTAAAACAGGTTGCAAACATGTTGTATGGAAAGGATCAGCTCTTGCTGCATTACATTGTGGGAGGCCTCCAGAGTCACCTGTAAATTATGGCAGTCCACCTAGTATAGGTAAGTCACTTTTATGATGGCATTGCCATTGTAATACCTAACTCCCAGGGTAATTGATTACTGTGATGATGAGAGCTAAGTAGCAATTCCATTTGTATTTGTCCTTGTTTGTGTTGTACCTTGCGTCTAGTGCTATTTTTATTAGGATGTTGTGTTGTCGTATTTAGCAGTTTGCACATGGAAAAAATGTGTATTGTAAATTTATGTCCCACTTCTCTGCTTGGAAGATAATTATTATTGTTAAACTTATCTTTGAAGTATGAAATCGAATAAAATACCACAACAGTGAAAACATACAGATAAAACTTTTTTGTAATTGATTTAATGATGCTTTCAGTAAAAAAAAATAGTTAATACAATGGAAAAACTTAAAATCAGGACAGCATGGTCTTTCCCCGTTGTTGGGGCAGAGTGAGTCATGCACACTGCTAATGATTTTCTTTGAACAATTTGAGTATCTCGTAGAAGTGATTCTTCCTGTCCCCTAATTTTAAAGTTTTGCTGTAGTTTGCTGTGTTACATCATGAAGCATGCATATGCTTTCTCTGCAGCTGAAAAAAATGAAAGAAGCTGGAGGTTATAGGGGTATTTTTCTGCTGTTCTTTCCGCTTGTCTTTTATAGTTACTATTTTTAAGCTCTTATTGATATATTTGTCACTGAAATGGGTTCTGTTAACTTTCAGCCTTCTAAGAAAACATATTTTCCCGTTATTAATCACTAGGAGAATCAAAGGACATATGTGATATTTTAGGGTTCTTTAAGGTACATCCTTTTTCTTTTGTCTTGGGCAGGAAAACCCTGCAAAAGCACATAGGTGTTTTTTTTGGTTTGTTTGTTTATTTGTTTTCCATGTTTCCCTGCTAATCTTTTTCCCCCACCCGTGATGGGAGCGGGGTTAAGACCAGTGCGGAGACTAAGTGGATTCAGACACCATGACACGAGTCACAGATAGATATATAGACAATGTTACGAATTACATGACTTCCCTGTCCTGCAGGAGAGGTGGTGCGCTCCAGGAGAGAGACCCGGAAAGTCAGTGTAGTGGTTCCTAACGCGGTTCCCCCTGTGCTGTGTGAAGTCCTGGGCACTAGGACCATGGGCAGTACTCTGTTCTCTTTCTGGTGCTGCTGAAATCTGTCCCTTCTCTCTTTGGAGTCTCTCTTGGAGCCTGTTGCAAGTCTTCCCTGAGTGACTCTGAAAAATTTGAGTTATAAGACTGAATAGAGAATGCTTAATCCTTGACTGGTTCATTCACACTCCCTTGGCACCTAGCTGTTGGCTGTCACCATTGCTGGTGCTCACAGTCTGCCCCCTCAGAGGCTGTCCGCAAATCTGCAAAGACACATTTGCAACTTCCAGTGATTAGCAGGTTGTTTACCCTTAAATTACTCCCCTATTCTTGTCTGTTCCCTTATAACTGAAGTTCAGCCAGTCTCAACCCATGCCAGCTGCCAGAGGACGCCATTCTTCATTTACTATCAGCCTAACAAGTAATAAAGACTCGCTCAGCATCTCCTTAAGGTGATATTTTGAGCTAAATCTATTTTCTGCTAAAACTATGTGTTAGCAATAAAATCTGTCAAAATACGATGTGTACTAAAAGTAGTATTTCTCTGGTATTAGGTTAGGCAGGGAGCAGCCAGTTTTTTCAAAGGTACTTCTATGCCTAAATATGCAAAAAAGCGTTTCTGAGAATTTTTCTAAATCCTCTGAGGAGATCAAGCATTGTATTAAAAAAAAAAACAAAAACAAAACCAAAAAACCAACAGTGATTAGTCAAAAACAGGTATGAAATAGGCTAACTTGAGCCTCTTTTCCTGAAAGTAATTGAAGCACTTCTTTAGTCATTGTAAAGTATAAACATCACTTGACATCCATACTAAGAGAAAAAGAACATCCATAGAATATTTCCTTAAATTTCATGATCAGTTTAACAGTGGTGATGCACAGAAATATTTTTATCGCATAAAGCAAGGACTTGTGGAATGTAGTATATAATTCCTTATTAGGCACAGGGGCTCCTTCTGTAGTGCACAGTAGACTTCTAAAGATGAGTGAAGGAGCTGTGGTACTGTGAGGAGCAGGTATTGCTGCAGCAGTAGGTTTCTAGACCTACATGGAACAAAATAAAAGTGTTTATAGAAGCACAAAATCTCTGAACCTTGCTTAATACGTTACCTCACTGAGAAAAGACGTGAGTTTTTTCTTAGCAAAAAAGAAACGACTGAAGGTGTATTAGGTGAACTGCAGTTGGATGCTTTTCAGAACAAAGGCATTAAACACAGTAATCGATAAAAGTTCTCAGTGTCTATTGTTAGTCTGTAAGGTTCCCATTAATTGGGATTTTTTTTCTTTATAAAAAGTTCAATTTGGGCTATTTAGATTATATTCTTAGGGCTGAAGAAAACTGAAAATCAAGTTTTAAAATGGATACCTTTACACTACAGCTAGAGGATTATGGTTCTCTTTCAACAGCTGCAGCAGAAGCATTTTACTGCTAAGAAGCTTCCAATGTCAGTGGTAAAGCACTGTAAACTTTGACCTGGTAGGATGGTGACGTATTAGGTGTTCTTGTAGGCCTTTCATCCGTTTTAAAGGACGAGCTGCATGCTTTCTGTGGTGTTATTTCTGTAGATGTTGGGGATATAGGAAGAGAAAAAAATGGCTTTTTGGCATGGTCGGAAGTGAGTTTTCAGAACTGGCTCAGATCGTATGGGTATTGGTCAGAGGTGATTCACTTGAAGCGTTATGTGGCGCTGCATCTGTTTAATGTGTTCTTATTTAGAACTATTGTTCTGGCGTTCATTTGTAGAGTCGTTTCTATATTGTGTTCCAGAGATGTGGAGAAAGACACCTGCTGCTGAGTAATTCACTTCCTGAGTGGTCGTGCCTTGGCTTGAAGAATGTAAACTTGGGAAATTTGGGGGTAGATTAGTTATCTTTTCTGCAGGGTGACTGGGAGCCTGAGCTTTAGAAAGTTACGTTTTCTTTAGTAGTGGTTGTCTTATCGTCTATACGTCATGTAAAGATGATGAAGTCAGGATGGAAGAGGAATTGGATTATTTTGCATTGTACCGTAACTTGCTCGATGGTATATGGTTTTTAAAGGGAAGAAAAGCTGTATGAAATCCATAGCAGCTGAGTTTCGGATAGGTTTGTAGGTTTGCCTTGGTAGGCAAACCCCCAGTTAGTATTTAAAAAAAAAAAAAAAAAAAAAACACCTTTCGGCCCCTTTTTAGGGAAGAACAAGACTTTCTAAAGAAATAGGTGTTTTGTTGTGTTTTTAATTGAACCTTTTGTGGAGCACTGAACGTTTACACTGAATCCTTATCTAAGCATTGAGATAAGTGCTGGTAGTCGAATGTTTTCTACTGAGGTTGTTTAAGGTTTCGGGTGTCTGGTTCAGAACTATGTGCTGAAGCATTTATCTCTGATTCATCCTGTTCTACTCTGATCTTTTAAATGAAATCATGAACTGGAATCACACGTCTTTTATAAATTGAGCTTAATAATTTCATTCTGTTTCCTGAAACAACTTACCCTTTTCCCCTGAAAAGGCTATGTTTTATAGATTTGTCTAACAAACATTTCAGAAACTATTGTTCTTCAGGCTGTATTTCAGGTGGAGACCCCACTAACAGTTGAGGAACAGAAAAGATCCTGAAGTCTAGCTTGTGCAGACTTTTTTCCCTTTATTTGCCTTTCACTAAACATATAGCTATGTTCATTGGTTTCCTAGCCTGCTGAAAAAAGTATAATTATGATGCTGATGAGAGATTCTTCAGAATTCAAATCGTGTGCGCGTTCCTCCAGCTGTCTTGTAGGTAGCTCTTTTATATGCAGTTAAAATCCATCTGTACAAATATGTATTTCTCCAGGAAACTACAGAACTGTATATAGAACATAATTAAAAAAAGTGGAATAGTGTTTGTCCAGTTGATATTGCCCGTGCAACATACCTGTCTTCTAAGATTTACTTAAGAAATAGAAAAGAAGGGTTAAAATCATAAGCTAAGCCAGTTAATTTCAATTTCTGTAGAAACAGTGGAACAAATGATTAACATACTGGTCATGGACATTTAGAATATAGAACGCAAGGAGAAAGGAGTTGTCGAGAAAAATCACATCAGGCCAAAAGAATTAAGACATTATTAAGAATAAAAATTAATTAAGATTAAAAAGAGCTAAAAATCTTTTTCTTATGTTACTTTATTTTGTTAAAGATCCCTTCTTGAATGCAGAAACAGGAAAGGGTTTTTTTCCATTATTTTTTATGAACTGCTGAAAAAGCCTAGAATGGAAGCTTAAAGTTAGATGCTCTTGGGGAAGCTGGTCATTCAGGTGAGAAAACCAGAATGAGATTGATTGCTCTTTCCCGACAGTAAAGAACGGTCTTCCTGATCAGTGAGTATATCTGCATCTGAAAAATAATGTTTCATGGGCTTTTTTTTTTTTTTTTTTTTTTTTTTTTTTTTTTTTTTTTTTTTTTTTTTTTTTTTTTTTTTTTTTTTTTTTTTTTTTTTTTTTTTTTTTTTTTTTTTTTTTTTTTTTTTTTTTTTTTTTTTTTTTTTTTTTTTTTTTTTTTTTTTTTTTTTTTTTTTTTTTTTTTTTTTTTTTTTTTTTTTTTTTTTTTTTTTTTTTTTTTTTTTTTTTTTTTTTTTTTTTTTTTTTTTTTTTTTTTTTTTTTTTTTTTTTTTTTTTTTTTTTTTTTTTTTTTTTTTTTTTTTTTTTTTTTTTTTTTTTTTTTTTTTTTTTTTTTTTTTTTTTTTTTTTTTTTTTTTTTTTTTTTTTTTTTTTTTTTTTTTTTTTTTTTTTTTTTTTTTTTTTTTTTTTTTTTTTTTTTTTTTTTTTTTTTTTTTTTTTTTTTTTTTTTTTTTTTTTTTTTTTTTTTTTTTTTTTTTTTTTTTTTTTTTTTTTTTTTTTTTTTTTTTTTTTTTTTTTTTTTTTTTTTTTTTACATAGTCCACTTTGAATTCCTAGGCATTTTGCCCATGTTTCTCAGAGTTTCTTTATTGAATGCTGCTGCTGTTTCAGCTGTAAACAGAATATGATGTTCTGAAAGAGGTGTAGAAGACTGTTTTTAGAAATTTGCTGATTAATCCTTCAAGCCTAAAAGCTAACCTAAGAGTGCTCTGTGTAACTGTATTATTCTTCTGTTAATTATAGCCAAAATTAAGCCAGAAGAATAATTGTTAGGTTCTGAGCATTAGAAATACAATAAACTTATGTTAACGAATCTGCATAAAGTAGTTACACACGTTTCTTCAAATCTAAAGTGAGTTATACTAAAATAATGCCTTCTTTTCATGCGAAAAGTGTGTTATAGAAGTCTTAAAGTTACAATACTTTTGAGTCAAATATGAACTGAACAAATATCTACTGAAAGTAAATGGGATTGCATTGAAGTCAGGGAATAGCTTGGAAGTGCTTGGAATCGTACAGCTTACTATTGTTGTTACCCTGCATCTTTTTAAACATCTCACCTCTTACATCTCTGAACTGCAAAGGAATGGCGGTTACTTTCGTTTAGCAAATAAATTCCATGTGTCAAGTTTTGAGATACACAATTTTTATCTCTGCATAGACACTCCAGTGAGGAGCCACCATATTTTTGCTCCGAGACAACGGGTGGTTTGATCAAGTTGCTAGCTTCACCTGTTTGGATGGTTGGCAGTCACCTGTAAGCAAGAAAACTTGAAGTGTTATATAGCGTGAAGAAGTTGAACAGAAATATGGTGGGAAGATAGAGGTCAATTCAAGCTGCTCTTTTTGATCTTGGATATTTTGAAAGAAGGGGGAAAAAATCAACTGAATGCGTGACACATTTAGTATTACTGGCTTAAAAAGACTGCCAGACTCCTCCTTTCATTATTATTATTTTTTTTTTAATTAACAACTCTAAAAGCCCTAAACTGTATTCGTTAGAGGTGTATCCAGCCTCATCGGTTATGTAACTGAATTCAGTATGGGTAAGAGTCGTAAGTGACATACGCTCTTCAGGTGTCATCCCAGGCTTGTGCTGGTTTTGGTTCCATTTGTGACTATCAGGGGAACGAAGTTGGTTTCTGTTCTTCAGAGTAGTACTTTCATTAATTAAATGCACCTCCAGAAGGAAAGAAAATCATAATGCCTTATCTTTCGTTTTATGGGTTTTTTTTTGTTTTGTGTGGGTTTTTTTTTTCCCAGTATACTTGTGGTCAGTAGAAAATTGAATTTGACTTATTACTGACCAAGACAGTTCTCTCCCCTTCCTTTAAAGGCCTATTTCACATTCCATTGTAAGACCATGTAAATAAGGCGTGTGACTTTGAATGAAAAAGCTGAAATAAGAAAGCCTAATCAGCTAGCTTCACTATTAAATCAAAATATCGCTTGGGACTAAGCGGTGGCTTGTCGTGCATTGCTGCAGAACAGCCACTTGGTAACATTTCTTCGTTCTGTTTGCTTTTGTTTTATTTTTCCTTTTTAAGCAGGATCTTACACGTATGTGAGTAGCAGACAAGCTTTGAAAGCTAAGTTTATTTTACTTCCCTTAATTGGTCGAGCTTGAGACGTGTTGAATGGGCAGCATTGAGATGAGTTGCTTCTGGGCAGCATGTCCTCTTCACAGAGCCCTTCCAGTGGGCAACAAGCAATCTGTTGTGTACTTTCCTTCGTTCTTTCTTCCTTACTTCCCTTCATGTTGGATGGCTCGCTGTAAGGCCCAACCAGCACTCTATAACCTTTCCTTGGATACAGTTCATGTCCTTTCCTCACTTGCCATGCATGGTTAGTGCCTCCACACTGCAGCTGTTGAACTGCTTATACTTTATTGCATTTTCTGTGACTGGTTTAGCACCTTTGCTTGTACTGACACAATTGTGTGAGGCCAACCAAAGACAGAAAACTACTAACATGGCTAAAACAAGATAGATACCAGACTTCCTGATACAGGAGTTTCTGAAATGATTTTTTTGTAAATAGGTAAAATCAAGCTGAAGTAGGGTAAAGGCCAGACAAGGCCTGACAGGTCGTGAGGCTGGATACGGGTGGTGATTGTAATAAAACCAAAGGCCTGTATTTAATACAAAAGGCATTATTATTATTATTATTATTGTTGACAGTTGGTGGCCTTTCTGACCTTGACTGGCACGAGAAGTATGAATTTTTATTGTTTTGCTGTAGGAATCTATTTTTAAGGCACAGCTATCTGTAACTTTTACCTGGATTGGGGGGGGGGGGAGGAGAAATAAATATTATTGTGCTTGCAAAATGTACAAGTGACCTATTGGAGTGGTAAATGTTAGGAATAAAAAAACGGGAATAGATCAGTGAAATAAATCAAACTGGATCACTTGGCAAAGTGAATGTGGGTAAACATAACATACAGTTAACTGAAAGGTCATCTCTAAGAACAATGATGGATGTGAGAATTTGGTTCGACAAAACAGTTCAAGAACTCTTAAAAATAATCTCTTAATGAACAGAGTGTTCAAACCTGTGGGAGATTATGGTATTTTTTCCAAATTACATGATCTTGGTTAAAATTTTTTCTCCATAAATGCATACTATTAAGTTCATTGACAGATGAGAACATCTCTGACAATTAAAATTTTAGGTAAAGCTTTTTTCCTTCTTGTGAGCCATGAGTTCTTATGAAGGCATTGCTAGAAGCTGATTTTTCAAGCAACTACCTGCATCTTAAGAGTAAATAAAATACAACTTTTGAATAGGTGAAGATTATTGTGTAAGCTCACTTCACTGTCATGACAAAGACCTTTCTTACTCTGATTTTTTTTTTTTTTTTTTTTAAATGTAGGGTGAGTTGTCAGAAGCAGAAACTGTCTTTTTCTTCTGAGTGAACTCATGTTTCAGAGAAAACAGCAGTTTCCTGCTGTTCTAAAGTAGACCGTCCTTTGGCAAGGAAAAGCTTTGTCACGAGGCATGTGCAGCTGCATCTTTTTCTTGTGTTTGGGAAGCGGAAAGGATACAGTATAGTCTAAAGCGGGAGTAGCACTGATTAAAAGTACGTGACCCCACAGCTGATGATCCTACTCATTCACTAAGCATCTTAAACTAGCAAGATGACTTTGAATCTTCAGGCTACACATATGGTAAATAAAATGGTTCAGAGCTGTTCTCTTTGCCTGATGCCAATGGGTTTGGCAGTTGTCCATGCCACTGAGTGCTTTTGCTCCCCATATAGAGTAGTCACAGTCTGGTTTGCCTTTTGAATGATCTTTGACCTGTGCAGACTCGAGAGCCGCTGTCTGAGAGAGTGCTAGTTGTTGTGAGTCAAAACCATGCCATGCCAAAAGACTTTTGGCTGTTTCAGAGATAGTGCTACTGGCTGAATCAGTCCTGTAGTTTACTACTGTAACCATCGCCTTGCTCAAATATAAAGAATGAATGCCTAATCAGAGTACAGCAATGAAGGTATCACCTACCTGTCTTGACGCGGGCAGATTTTGTTTCTCACGAGAGTGCTGTGGACTTTGGGCATACGTGTGCATTTATTTTTTTAATTTTCATATATTCAAAAGTTTGAGGTCTTGAACATGTTTTCTGTTTTATCAATCCTGTGGAATATAAAATGTGTTGCTGTTGCCTTTGTTTCTGCAACCTGGTAATGTGGGGAACTGTTTTGACTAGTGGCTGTGTATCCATGCCTGCAAACACTGTACTCCATTGCTTATTGTTGCATGAGTAGCAGTCTAAAAATAATAATGCTGAGCTTCTGAATAATGCTTCTTCCCTGAAGTTCCTTACTGAAGATTTGCAGTTTGTTGCAGCAAAGTAGATTATTGTTCCTGGACCTTCTTAGCGTTTATTTTATTTTTTAAGGCTGTTAGTCAAACTCAGAACGTCACTTTTCTCTCCCCGCCCGCCATTAATAGTAACCTTCTTTGAAACAAAGATTGATTGTGCCTTGTGAATAGTGTCTAAACGTTTAGTTACGCGTATCTCAAGACAGGTTGCGCTGGAGAAAATTTGAATGTTTGCGATCTGCAGTTGATATCTGTCTGAAAGCTCTTCTGATCAATACATTTGAGATAGTTTCCACAGAATGGTAAACTCTCTCAATCCTCCTGAATTTCTCTCACTTAGTATGAATGTATGTACGTTTGGGTATTTAAAATTGAATGTTTGATGTGTTGTAACTTCATGCTCTGCCTTACCTTTTGGTACTTCTTTGCATATTTGTATCGTAGTGTACTTTTGTACTATATTTTTCCCTGATTAAATGATGGGCTATGGTAAAATGAGAGAGTTTTATTATAATAAGGTTTGCATGTGGTAAGGGGTCCAGGGCTGAAATGAACTTTCCCTTTTGGACAAGCGTTTTAGTTTATGAACCCGATATAAATGCTGTCTTTTTTTCTTTTTTCTTTCCCCATTTGACAGTGGATACCCTATTTTCAAGAAAACTAAATGGAAAGTACAGGCTTGAACGCCTTGTTCCAACTGCAGTCTATCAACATATGAAGATGCACAAACGAATTTTAGGACACTTATCTTCTGTATACTGTGTAACTTTTGATCGGACTGGCAGGCGAATATTTACTGTAAGTACAAAAATCTTTTTCTGTAGAATTATTATTTGCATATAGCTTGCATGTAATTTAAAATTGTTACCAAAAACTAGCTGTGCTGATGTTGTGCCTCAAGATCAGGTAAATGTCTTACTACTGTTGCTCTCGTGTTCACTTTTTTTAAGGAGCGTATAACATGTCCTAATGCTAAATGAGATGCTGATTTCTCCTCCATGTAGTTCAGTAAGAAAGCTCAGGTTATTTTCAGTGGAAAGAAAAGACCTGCTCTAGATTGTTTTCACTCCTGGAAGTTATCCTGTAGTGAAACACAGGCAAAAGAATAGACCATCACCACAGGATTTGATTAAGAATTCAGGGAGGACAATCAATTTGCAATTGCAGATTAATTTGACTATTTTTCTATACATTTGTTAAATTAAAATCTGACTAATAAGATTAACGATCTGAGGACGCACTTAGATTTTTGTATAGCTTATTGATGGAAACTAGAAAGTTGAAAACTAGTATGGTAATAAATGCTGGTTCATGGTGAGTTGTCTTTGAGATTCCTGGAATTGGTTTTTGGACTAATGTTCATTGTTTTTAAAAAACAAAACAAAACAAAACAAAAAAACAAGTACTAAGTAATACTGGAAGGATGCCCAGAATCAGTACTGAGATTGCAAGTTTCCCAAAGAGTGAGAATTACGATGTAAACAAGTAGATGGTCAGTGTAATTTGGATTCCTTGGTAAGTGGTCACTTTCAGTTAAGCCAGAGATGATAAATACACAGCTGATGTGAATTTGGGACACTTTGGCTGCATTGGTTGCCTTCCCACAAATACTGTATGCGATTGATAACTTTGTGGATTCAGGAGCTTGATTGTGTCTTTTCTAACTTCATGGCAGATCTCTGATGTAAGTGGAAATACAGCTCATTTCTCCTCCTTTTGCACTGCAGCCCTGGCTTTTAGAATTCTCATAAGGTGGTTGTAAATACAATTCTCCCTTTTCTCCCCCCCACATGTATTTTACTTTATTGTATGGAGGGATGTGTGACTGCAGGGTTGGGGCGCTCACAGTATTCTGAAAAACTTTGGTTTATTTGTTCATTTGTTAATTCACGCATACTAGCGATTTTTTTCATATTTCTTTGCCTTTCATTAACAAGCTGACTCCGTCAGTAGTGATGGATATTAAATTCTTGCCATCTTCCCTAATTCATGCATGACCCACCTGTCAGGAAAAGGAACTTCCTCTGTTTTATGGGTTTATTTCAATTATGACATGGCAGAATAGATTAGGAATTTTAGGTGTGCAAGTATAGAAATCTGCTGTGCTGCTGCTCTTCATCTCTAAATGAAAACTTCTGTTGGTGCTTCCTAGATAAAGTGCTTAAAACTCCTTGATAAGATCTGTTGACTCTTAATTTTCCTAATATCTTCCAGTGTTCCTAAAATCTATCCTTTTTGAGGGATTTACTCAACTTCCTCCAAGGGCGTCTGTGACAAAGAGTAGAGTTGTGCATTCGCTAGCTTCTTGCAGCCTGTCGTAAAAGTGGTTAAAGGCAATTCCTTTGACTGTTACAGTGATTTCTTTCCAATCGAAAAGCAAGAGACCCTTATGTAAAAGCAGGGGGAATTGCTTCTGCACCCCTGGGACTTTTCTGGTCATCCTTCGGCAGATTAACTAGTGTCCTGGTGTGATAGCTCGAAAAAGGTCCGAGGTTCAAATCATGATACCTTCAATCCAGTGTTAAATAATATGTCTGTAGAAATTAATGGTGGCTGGTGGTTTTTTATTTGGGGGAATGGGCCAGAACTTCTTGCCTAAGAATTCTTGGGTAAATTCAGGTGTGTGATGGGTAGTTTTTTGTTTTTTGTTTTTTTTTTTTTTGGTAGACTTTTAAAGTGATTGCTGCCAAATGGAAAACCAAGGTGTTTTATTCAACATTCCAATAAAAGGCAAGTTGCTTTTACTGGCATGATGTAGTCAGTCAGATAAACAGTGATGAACTGCCTTACTGTATTGCATCTAAATAAGTAAATAATAAGCCAGTTCTTTTCAGTCTTGACCAAGCAGGAAAAACAGGAATTTGTAGTTCAAAAGAAGGTGGACTTCTTTTTATTCCAGACGTGTCTGTAACCAGAATATAAACCAGAATGTAACCAGAATATATTTATAAACATATATCAAAAAAAATTCCTGCTCTGCATTTTTACTCTAAAATTTCTGGCATTTAGCATGGCATTAGCTAGATAAAGTAAATTCGTTTAGACTTATAATTGGTTGTAGAAAATGCATCAGAGCTGTTTTCTTTCCTTCCTAATGTCTGAAGGATTGAAAGTGTGTAAATTCAAGTTCTCTGTTATGGTCTGTTTCAAATTAAAAGAAAAAAGTGATTTCAGCACATTTTTGATTCATACTGGTTTGAGAGATGTTATCTTCACTAGGAAGAAGAGGATGCTCTTAGTTTGCCTAGAGGCAGTGAGAACAGGACATTGCACAGGTTTTCTACTAGCTAATAGGTCATGTGAAGACTGTTTCTATTTACATTCTTTTACAGACTTCCCTAGAGGTGTGGTTTTTTTTGTTTTTTTTAAAGTTAACCTCTCAGCTGTTTTTTCTGAATGCACAAAAATATTCCCAGTTTACAAGCTTTATTGTCTTAGTAACTTAGATTTTTAAATTAATTGCATTTAAGACATCCTTTTTACTTGTAAAGACGCAACCAAAAGGCTTATCAGCCATTAGTGAAGAAAATTTAAGTTCTTCTGTCTGTTTTGAATCCCTTGAAAAACATGAAGAACAGAACCCGTGCTGGGTGCTAGGAAAAAGCATTGTCCTCTCGGGTTTGTGCAGAGCACCCACTATTTTGCCATTCTTCTTTGCAGTCAGAAAGTTATCTTCTTTTTTCCCACCTCCATCTTCCTGTCATCTTTGAGATATGCTTTCTAGGGAATAATAAACAGTAGTATGAAATAGTCTTTATAAGGTTCCAAGCAAAGATTAATTTGTGCATATCTTGGCAGTTTCACCTCTGCCCACAAGTCTGAGTAATGGTAGGAAAGCGAACCAGTTCTACTCCATATCTTGGTAATGCTGTCATCAGTTCTCTTTTGGCGCTAAATTTGTTCTAGAATTCACTTTTGACAAATGCTTTTAATACGCACATAATTCTTAGCAGTCGTAGACATAACCTTGGAAACATAAGCTGTGGTGTAAGCCGATGTCCTTGTTGGCAGAACCGCAACTGTATTTTAGAGTTGTGAGCTGTCCCATTTAGTTCAGACTCCCATGGCCTTTTTGGACCCTGATATTGTTACCTTGCCATGATGTTACCTAATTTACAATTTTACTTTTGTCTTTTTCCTTGCCTTCTTGATGAGACTTGCTAACGGCTTTTTAAGTTTTCTCTGCAATAGAGAGGTAAAACACATACTTCTATAGCTACTCTGTAGCCAACTTGTAGTGAGCTGGCGGCTTTTGTGCTGATCTGTGTTTAGTTTACTGTTACTAAACAGACCTCAGGTCTGCCCAGGGGGCATTAGGTTACAGAGCTATTTTTGTTTTTCTTGCTGGCTGTTTTACATCTTCAAGTTATCTATGTGCAGATGATGAGTAATAAGTTGATTTATCTGTGAGTTCCTGTTGTCCATGTATAGTTAAGTGACGAAAAATCTGTTCACTATCCGTCAATCATATTCTGCAAGCAGCTCTTTAGGGGTCCCATAGTGCAGGGTTTGGTTTATCGGGCGTCTTTTATTTTCTGCTTTGAATGTTATATCTGTTCATCCAGTAAAACAGCTGCAGGCCATAAGCCTGCTAGAATATCAATAGCTTATTCAGAATATTGACCCTTAAAACATGCTTTTGCAATTCTCACATTGTATGTAATATGTAGAGTCTAGTATGCAGCGTACTATTTTACTTACACTGCTCCAAGAAAAACAAGGCTAGTGGTTTGGGACTGCAAGCCTGTGATGTAAGCAATTAATATTAATGCTTTGTTTCTGTTTTCATGCATGTACTGCTTGGCATAAGAAGCTCATGCACACGAGTGATTCCTTCCCTCCCTGCTGTCTCCCCCACCCATGTGTTTTGAGGGTTCTGATTTCCTGATTCCCCCCTTCTACTTTCAAATCCCTCTTGAGGAGTGAGGATATTCTTTGTCACCATCTGTTTTTCACCACACCTTTTGTCTCCTCTGAAGTTTTTAAAATTTTGCTGGCAACTACACTTTCAAGAAGAATATCCAAGCTTCTTCATACTCCATTCTACTGTTACCATTATGTGAGAGTTCGAGTGAGTTGATATTATATTTCAGAACATCAGTACATAGATTAGGCAGTATTTTTGCCAAATTTTAGCTAGCCTGTTCAGATCCAAGGAGCTGGCAGAATTTGTAATAAAAATCAGTGGAAAGGCTATCTCTCAGTATTTGTGTGTTGACTCCTAGTATCACTTGGAAATTTTTTAATAATTAATGCTTGAGAAGGACGACACAAATTTTCGAAGAAGCTTTAAAAAACTTGACGATACGGGTTTATTGACAGCTCTTACCTTTGTGGGGGAGCCTGGCAGGGAGAATTACCGTTTTAAGCACGTGGTTGGAATTGATGTAGCGTTTGAAACTTTCTGAAGTTCTGAGTTTGAAACTTATATAAAAGTTTTGGAAAACAATGCCCTCGTAGTAAGTGCTCTGCCATACTTGAGTTATAGAGCTGCTTGCATCTAGTGTAATGGCAAAGGGATGATTTGATTAGTGTGCAGTTTTAGCTGTGGGGTACGTTTCTTCACTGGAACCTATTACAGCTCTTCTTTATGAAAGTAGAAGGTAAATTTAGACTAAAGTTAAAATTAATAGAGTAATTTTCCATTAGGACAGTTTTATCAAGGACGTCGGGGTTTTTTTGGCACTCGAGAATGTTTTCATTCGGAAGGCTTGGCTTTCTAAGAGTTAGGGCCTTCTAAATTGCTGAGTTTTAAGCAAGAGTTGAAACACAAAGTCTTAAAGTGTACGCTGTGTATG